CCTTTACGCATCCTTACCATCCTAATCTGTTCGCGAATTAACATAATTTAATTTTGTTATAAATAACACATGTACCAGACCGATAAGGTGTGGTCCCTCCTTATGTAATTAGTCTTTTTATAGATAACTCTAAATAGGGTAATGCAGTTGTTTTAGCCAAGTTTATTACTGGATTGGCAATCGCAGCCAATATTTCTGAAAGTAATGCCCTCCTAATGGAAGTTTTCCAATTCATTTCGATTCGGTTTTTTTCCGGTCCCAATATGCAGCATTTCATCTGGTCGTTATTACGAATCTCATGCAACAATTCATGTGCCCCATTCGTTTCACATTTATGCCATTCACTTATGAAACCTGGCAGCGATGCTTTCAGACGTTGTTGATGGCTTCGTGCCACCCACGTTGGGTCGTTCTAATGAGGGATAATTAAGGTGCGGTGAGCGGTTGCATGGTTTCGTTTCTATCGATTCTATAGAAACGTATTCACTTTGAAGCTACTAGCGATGTTGTTGGCTTCTCCATTTCGATTACTGTTGAACGTGAAAATATTTTTTACACGATAATCATGGACTACAAATGAACGCTACTATTCGAAATGATACTCATTCTTCACCACGCGCTGCTTTTACGCTATCGTATCTGCTTGCTTATTTTAAAGTTGATGAAAAAATGAAGGAAAGGGATTTTCTTATTCTGAATTCAGTAGAAAACAGTAAAGAAAAGGGATAACGACCTTGGGTTGATCATTCCTGGTTTTTTGAGATGCGCCTTTGGATGTTTTGGGGTAACTTTGGGGTTGTGGAATACGCCCTATCATTCGACTTCCTGTCTTATAGGCGCTCCGATGCCGTATTTTCCCGACACAATGACTTGCGGTGGGCTCTCAGACGAAAGTGGTACCAATTTACCGACTCGAAGAGATGGAATGGTAATGAGCACGAGCAAGTTCCTATTCGGGATTCGATCCCCTGACGTGCATGAGGGTCCGCCACTTGCCGCCGCTACTACACCATCTCCAAATAGAAAATAATAATACATAAAAATTGGTATGCCCGCTATGATCTCTCCATGTTATGCCAAAATGTAACGCAAAATATCTCAAATTAACCGGTTATTTCTTCAAATGTTCCCAGACTCATCAACTTATCCAAAAGAGGGTTTTGGCGCCCAGCCAAGGAGAGGACCAGCAGGATAAGGGTTGTTGTAGAGCCAATGTGAAATGGCTACATTTAGCGCTGAAGTTATGAGTGTTACTCATTGATTAAGCGAGTTGTTCGAAAATCAACAAGTCCTTGAACCCATTTCTTAGAAATCCAATTCTATCCGATTTGCCTTATCGGGGGCTTTCATTACCTACTTTTAATTTATTTCCGCTTGGTTGAGGTAGGTGGCAGCTGTTTTGATGGCTTAGCATTTCTTAACCTTTTTTTCATGACTAAAGTAGTTTTTATTCTTTTCAATTTATTCGTTGTTATATCTGGTATTTTAAGCTAATTGACTTTCCCTCCGCTACAAATGCTAGTCAAAACACTGCCGTAGAGGAAAACGAAGTAGTAATATTGTTTTGTGTTTACCTCTGTGGCTACTAGTTTATAGGTTTCCATATAATCACAACGGAGGCTTTCGTAAGACGATTATTTGAATTACGAATATGGCCACACTGAACCTTGTCTACCTTTGCAGTCGAATGCTTGCTGTTTGTTCATATTGAATCTCTACATGATTTATATTTTATTTCTAATTTTGTGTATTACACAATAATTTTAATTGAGGAATACGAAAAATGGAAAACAAGCTGAAAAGTCATTTTTTCCTGAAAGCTTTTTTTGGGGCTTGATGAATCATTTTTTTGTAACTTGTAACCTAAGTATGATGTAACTCACCCTGATCTTAGTGATGTTTCGTGATAGCACAAGATTGGAATTACATTTTCAGTTCCTAATTGTCAGAGATATGGTCAAAGCGGGTGTAGTGACAAATGGCGCACTATCACGGAAGCATAGCCCGGGGATCGGTTCTCAGATCGATACTCGTCCGGGCCAATCACGCCTTCCATCCCTGCGGTGTTGGTCAGTTGGTGCAAAACTCGTCCGGGAGGATAAAAGTACTGACTTGTACATAGGATGGCCGCGGAAGTCATTGCATGTGATTATTTCATGCCACTACGAGTCCGCATGGAAGGCGAGTGCTTGGCGCATTCCAAAAAGTGGACTGATTTACGCCGAAGACTTTAACTCTTCAGCTTTTTCAGAACTAGAACTATAACAAGAAAATTATTTTGAATGGAAGTTGAATGCGTGGCATATAAGCATAGCAAAACGGAATTGATCAGACCACATAACACTTTTCCATCAGTAGTGCTAAGAAGTGGTACTGACAAGTAAATATATGCGCAAGGGCACCCATATTTTATTGAGACGGTTTCAACAAGTAAAGTTTTCATATCCAATGTATTATAGATACAATTCAAATGTATTCCTAGCAATTGTGTGCTTCACACTCATGACTTTCAAAATCGTCTTTACTACTACAAATTTGCACATTCCCAGAACGAGCTAATTCGGTACTCATTGTTCACCTGTCAAACTTCTGTTGAGCTTTATTCGTTTGATATTATGGTAGATACTGCTCTGATGAGCGAAGCTTTGAACGAAAGGGTGTTTTGCCCTGTGCCCCTCGAGCGAGTACCATTTACTGGACTACTTTGGCTCGCGACAGGGACGAATGGATACGTTACTGACTTCCGCTCGAGGAAATCGATGATCAGCGGGGCGACAGGTGATACAGGTGATTCCGCTCTGTTGAAAACTATATGATTCGGAAAACCTCAGTAATGGAAGTTCAAATTGCTCGCTATACGATTCAATCATGCTCGTTTTACTCGAGATGCCCAGGTCAAGATCCAGCATTCTCATGAAGCGGCGGGGGTGTGAGAGAGGGAGAAGGAATTTGGAGTCTGAAGGTCTTCAAAGGTCTTCAAAGGTCCTAAGCGATATTTCATCAGTTCCAGATGGTCAAAACTCTTCCAAATGGGAAGGCAATCTGGTTTGGTTGCGGCCTGAGTGGCTTACGCTGATCTCATTTTTCAGCTTTCCTTCTAACTTAGTTTTTCTGTGTGACGTACTAATGAAAATGAGTTCGCATGTGGCTTTTCCTTGTGTGTGTGCTACAAATCGAATATGCCTGTGAGCTAGTATATATGGCCAATGATTGTCGTACACGAACGTCGGCAATCAACGGCGCCAGCAGGCAGCTTCAACGACTGGCTGGGTACTCATTTAAGGTGTGCAATCACGACATTATCGGCTTGGCGAGTCTAGTAATGAGCAATTTCATCGATGCTGACCTAATGACCATGCGGCGGAAGGCTTTACAAGTATGTGCATACGTGTGCATGTGGCGCATAAGCATGTTATGTGTCTGTGTGTGTGTGTGTGAAACGAGTGAATGAGAATTGTGAATGGTAGTAGCCGAGGGTAGACACCAGCCGGTTGCACTACCGTGGAGAGTTGTCGACACAAATTGTCGATGAGAGCTGACGGCAACGTCCACTGTGGTGTCCACTACATCTGAGCCTTGCAGCTGAGACTCAGTGACAGGTGCACCTTAACGAGCTTCACATAGACCTCATCGATGAGAAGAGGTAGGGCGGTGGGGTAGAGAGTAGAGGGTAGAGTCAGGTAGCCCCATATGCACCTGCCTCCTCGTCGTCTCCGCCTTGACAGAATCATCGCTTGACCCAATTTCCATGCGCCTTCGTACACCATCGTTCTATTTTACGTTGAATTTGTGTTGTAGCAATATCTCGACCATATTAAGGTCAAAAGTTTTTGTCGACTTTTGTCTACTCAATCGTTCAAATCCGCCTTACTCGCGTTGCTTCTCAACAGTTTCATCTCGTGTTGCCTTTTCGTTCTCTCAGCGTTCAGAGACGTTTCCGTTGACGCCTCTTAACTATCCTTCTTGGATTACAGACATTATGGTGGGGCTTTACTCGGACAGGCTGCCTGATCTGGACTGGTTCCTGAACATAGCCGCATCTCCTTGCTCACCGACGCCTGCCCCACCAAAAAAGGTTCGTTTTGGTGCAAATTTCTCAGGGACCAAAAGGTCGAAGTCCCCAGTGAGGGACACCATATTCACATATGTCCCCTGGTGACCAGTCAAAGATTCCCTCGTTTCAGAAATCTACAGCTTTTCCACGAAAAAGGCAACGACGATCGTGTCATCATGTACGTCATACATTCGAAGCGGTAGGTCATATTTCGGAACATCATTGATCAATAGCACTAATCGACCAATAGCATGCTTTTGAAGCTGAATGGTCAAATCGATTACCATTCGACGAACATGAAACCTCCGTTGAGTTATGCTCAGCTAATTATGGATGCAATGGCAGAACGTCAGGTGGAGAAAATTACTCTCTCAGAGATCTATGAATACGCTATTCGACGCTATGCTTACTACAGAAGCTCGAAGGGACCATGGAAGGTTAGCATAATTGGATTACAACGAGAGATTTTTGATACTTATTACAGCAAAGAGCTCAGAACTTAGAATCTTAGTAATTCTTTACTCCCTATTCCCTCAACAAAGAAACTCCTTTTTTGCTTTTTCCCAGGCTCTTATCATGTCCTGTCATTCATTCATTTTCATTCACCATTCCTTCCATTTTTCTTGTCAACTAAATTTTCACGATGCTTTTCCGGCCCAACGGCCCATCCTTGAGACCCTTGAGTTCTTTTTGAAGTGTTAAAAGAAATTTCTACAATCAATTGAAATTCGGATTCTAGAACAGAGTGAGAAATATCTATTCGACCCGAGCAATCGGAAACTTTCCTGGATTTCTCCTCCCTGTATCCTCGGTAACAATTCCCTTCAGATACCTTTCCCCAGGATTCTCATGTCCTGTCATTCATTCATTTTCATCTATCAATCCTTCCAGTTTTGTCTTGCCGGTTGACACTTTTACGAGACTTTTCCGGCCCTATTCTTGAGGGGCACTCCTAAGTTCTGGGAACTGATCAAAGAATTCTCTACAAATTTCTTTGTAGAAAAAAGATTGGACTGTAAAAGTCACCGTAGAAAATCAGTCCATCCTATATGTATATTGCTAGAGATATATCTGAAAAAAAACCTAATTTCGTTGGGAGTCCAGTGGGTTGTGTGCCATTTAGTCCGATTTTTGGTTTTTCTGCTTTTTGAAGTCATGTATCTTATTGTTAGGTGCATGCAACCGAGTAAGGGCAACTAATGGTGAGTCATTTATTATGAGAGGTTACTAGCGGAAATGACCGGATGAGTGAAGAATATGAAGCTAATCAAGCTTTTTTTTCTCGGAGTGTGGGCCGCTTTTTCAATTTCTTCTTTTCATATTCTTTTCCCTTTCTTCTCATCATTGAGGGGTCATATTCAGAGATAGTTTTTCTTGTTCTGACAGCTTCATAGACTGCTATGGTGAAATCCCAGTGGACAGCTGGTTACAAGCTGTTGTTGCTATCAGTAATTGTTGACTTCTAAGAGTTACAGCTCAACAGGCAAATAAAATCTAACTAGTAACATGATCAAAGATCTCTTTTATGCATGATTACGTCTGGACATTATTAGTACTCATAACAATGCCATTCAAAACCATGCATTATTCATTATTACTTCGGCGACTTTTCTGTAACCAGTGATGCGTGAATTTCAGGGAGTCCAGATTTAGGGTTCATATCATATGGGAACAACGATGAGGGAAGAGATAAGCAGCTAGTGTTTCTATCAGGGGAACCGGACCTGAAAGCTTGATCCTCTGTGACCAAACGCCGCTCCTCGCATTCGTTTCAACTAGATTCAACTACCCTAAAATTCCATAGATAAGAGCGGTAGACACTACCGGTGAAAAATGAATTGGAATGAAATTGAAATGGAATGCAGTCACCCCTCTAACTTGATGGATGGATAAATTAAACTTCGAAGAAGAAGTTAAGAAGAAGCTCCGCTCCTTAACT